TCGTTGGGGTGCCCGCCGAGGTGCTCGTCCTGATCGTTGGGGTGCCCGCTGAGGTGTTTGGACGACGCCCCATCGCCCTCTGCCGCCGTGCTCGGCCGGGTGTTGCACACCCACCCACATGAGGGAGCCGCCCCACGCGGGAGAGAGAGAGGAGGCGTCGGGGGAGTGGCCATGAGGATGGAGAGGGAGGGGTTGAGTAGATGACGTGTGGGCCCCACAGGTCATTGAGATGGTCAAAACCGCTCTATATTGGACAAACACAGCCTCACCCGCGCTCAGGTGCTAAAAGTGAACGGTTTTGACAGTTGGGATACTAGCATTAGATTTTGTAGTTGAGGATCAAAATTAGACGAACTCAGTCGAGGGGCCAAAAGTGGACTTAATCCCAAATTTAAACACATCCTCTGATTTCCTCTCCGTGTCGCCGGCCACCCACTGATCCACCCGCTCGCTCCTATGGATCACGCCGCCGAGCACCTCGACCCCACCATCCCGGCACCCTCATCCGCCTCCTCTTCCGCCGCCGTCGCCGAGGTAAATGCGTGGCTGGCCTCCCTCGCCGCGGAGGCGGGGGGCGCGGGCGGGACGGGAGGGCGAGGCGGCGGCGGAGGTGCGGCGGCGGAGCTGTCGCTGGGGCCCGACCCCACACCGCGCGGGGTGACCTTCCTCCGCGCGCTGGCCTCTGCGTCGCAGGGGCGGTCCCGCGCTGCCGGAATCGCGGCTGCGGGGCTGCGTGCGCAGGCGGCCGAGTACCGCGCCGAGGCGGCGCGGCTGCGGGAGGCTCTCGAGCGGGCGGGGCTCGCGAGGGACGCGCTCCCACCACCCGCAGCCGCGGCGGCACGAGCCGTCGCTGCAGTCGCTAACCTCCTCGCCATCCGTGACACCGAGATGAGCAGGTGACTCCTTGCGCTAGGGTTCCGCGAGTATCGTATTATCCAAACGGCATAGCTCTTCTTTTCTCTGAGAGACGCAATAATTGAGAGATCTGTACTTCTGACGGGTACATATGTTCAGTGTTTGGAATTTTATTACTGTCATTGCATGAACGATGAATCTTCCATTTTTTTGTAGAGTTTTGGGGCCATGTCTCGTCTTTCATAAAGATGAAAGGATAACAATTCAGATTACAGTGCAGGGTTTAAGTCAATCATTTCGAATCTAGAACAAAACCCTATAAAGGGCTGCCTTACAACCATGACAAACTACCAACATTTGTTACAAGAAACCACATCTCTCCTCAACCTTCTATGCCCTCCAGCTTCTGATCCACAGAAATTAACAAAACCGATGCTTGATGGAGGCACTCTACTATTTTTGCATTTATGTTTGGTTTGGATCCACACTAAATTGAGACTAAACTAACATGACTTAATGGAACTCAAAGCAAAAATCTAAATTGGCAAACATGTAAAACTATGTCCTCAATGTTGTATATACAAGAAATTTCTCTGAATGTATGTATTGCATCTGATTCTGTTACTTTGTCATAAACTCTGAGGAAGCTAGTGACTTTTTGGTGTTTGGGTGGTATAGGAACTGTCACATCATTCTTTTTTGTTTGGCATTTTTTGACTAGTTTCTAAAATATTTGTCTTGCAGCTTTGTGGTGGCAAGTGCAGACTTGTCTCTGAGACGAGCAGAGGTGGAGGAGAAGAGGGACAAAGTGCATAAGGAGTCAAAAGCACTACTTGATTACACGCGGAAGGCCATAAACAAGCTTACTGAGCTGAAGAAGTGAGTGGAAACCTGTTCATTTCATAGTTTGAGTTCTCACTCGTTAGTTATCATTGTCACCTAGATTTCTGTGTCAAACATGATAAGTACTTGTGTTGTTTCTAGGATGCTGGAGAAATTTAAAAATGATGTGGAGAAGCAACAAGTAGAGCAAATGACGGATTGGCAAACAAAGCTTGTTATGATGGACTCCAAGGAACGACAGTATATCCTCCAAGTCTCAAATTATAAGGTGAATAGCATTTTGTATTATTTATATTAGGAGTTGGCTTTTGCTTGTGCTTCCAGTTCTTGATTTTGACATGCTAGGTGTGGACGACAATCACCTAAATCGAAACTGTCAACTAGTGCAATAGCTTGTAAGCTATCGATTTCATGTATTGGTTAATTATTAGGTACAGTAATTCTAATATATGATTGTTGAACAGAATGTGCAACACCCAAATCATCTCAGATAGGGTATTTCTAGATTTTAAGAAGCTTTGATAGACTTAGCACAGCTGTTATGCAATTATGTAGCCAGCCTTTCTGATTGAACTTTGTGTTTCAGCAAGTGTTGTTAGTTCCAATCTACCTTTTCTGGATTTGTTTCCTCAGTAGGATGGAACCTCTAGTTTTCAGGGGACATGTCTTTATAAAGTTGAGCTGAAGCACTGTGTAAATTCTAACTTCATAATTCTTGGCACTATGAACAGTTGAGCATATCCCTCGAATATATATGCTAAGCTACCTTCAGTCTTTCCACGTAGACAGTAGACATGAGGATCTAGAGATGCATACCTTCGACCGGATTGTTGGACACAGGAATAATAAACATAATTTGTATAGGTTGTGAATCTTTGAACTAATGATACACATTTATTATTTCTCTCCATTACCTGTTTTCAATACCGTGATCGATTATGGATAGCAAGCGATGAACAAAGTCATAACTGTGAATTGAAAAATCTGACATCAAGATTTTGTTACTACAAAAACGTTTTTACCACCATTTTAGAGCTGATGTGGTATTCTTTTTTCATTCTTACCAAGAGCTGTTTGCCTCTTTGTAGGCTAAGTTGTGTGCTATTTGATCCAAAAAAAAAAAACCCGAGACCAACCTAGGAGTAACTAGGTGGCATTTTATTAAGAAGAAAATAGGCACCCAAATTCACCTCGATGAGGACTTCATCTAGGCATACAACCACATCGACTAGCTCAGATTCCTTGCTATTTGATACACACTGTTCTCTGATTAGCAAATCTGCTTCAACGCCTTATAGATTTGTTGTCTTCCTATCTTTTTCAGGCAATGCTTAATCGAGTGGGTTATACGCCGGAGATCAATCATGGTGTGTTGATGGAAATGGCTGAGCATAAGAAGGATCTTGAGAGGAAGGCAAAACCCATAGCCGATACATTAAGGAGCTACCAGGATTTACCTCCGGTATGTCTTTTGCCTTTTGTTTTTTTTTTCTGGTGGAACCCATTGCTAATTATTGAGTACTTGGGCAATTTGTAACCAGGATAAAGCTCTAGCTGCACTAGCTATAGAGGACAAAAAGAGGCAGTATGCAGCCGCAGAGAAGTACCTAGAAGATGTGTTGCAATCTGCTCTAACCACAACTGGCCTATAATGTGCATAGTTTTGTTTGGTGTATCTTACATGTTGGCATTGATTGAAGGTGAAATGGTAATTAACTTCCTTGTAATTTGTGACTTGGTTAAATAATTGTGTAACATCCCTATCTTCACCATAGAAATTACGTTTTGTTGCAATTATGATCTCAGCGACAACCAAGACACTCGCCCGAAATCTTGGCTGCTGTTTATGTGTGTGTGTGTGTGTGTGTGTGTGTGTGTGTGTGTGTGTGTGTTGCCTTAATGTCTAGACTCTAGAGATGAGCTGTGTGATGTTTTAATGGACATACAGTTGTGATAGAGTATGCATGTTCTTGTTTGTCTTGCCTTTCATGCATTCTATCACATACGTGCCAAATTTGTTTGTAGCATTGAAACAAAACTCAACTGCTGTGGTTAACACTTTGTATTCTGTGATTTATGTATGATTAAAATATTTTTTTTATTAAAATAGTGGAACGAGGGCAATAAATCTTTCAGTGGGCGTACCCAGTGTAGAGAGCTCCCGCTCTGTGCGGGGTCTGGGGAAGGGTGTTAGTGACAAGCCTCACCCTCGCCTGTGCAATGCGAGGAGACCGCGACTCGAACCCAGGACCTTCCGGTCACAGGTGGTAAGACTCTACTGCCTGCACCAGGCCCGCCCTTCAGCAATAAATCTTTCAGTGGCATTAGATATTTAGTTCTAATTTTGGATCTCTTGATGCTCTAGCTCAGAGATACGCTCTTTACCAGACTTTGGCTATAATCATGGAAGGCAGACAAATTAAGGATAAACGTGCCATATATTCCTGGGCAGACTGCAAATGATTACTTCATATGTCTACTTTCTCCAATATAAAGCTAACATGTTTCATTTTTCTTAATGCAATTAGAAATTTGTGTTCTTTTTTCCATTCACATTCTGTTTTTCTACAGCACATTGTTTGATGTTAAAGTTAATTTATTTTATAGTGTTGCATTGCATGACAACAGTTTCTTGTTAGAACTATATTTTTCAATGCAGGAGGCAGATGATATCATACAAATGTGAGGACAAAATCTTTTGGGTAGGAGCTCTATATGTATAAATGTGATGCACATCTTGTTTAAATGTTCTGATAACACTATTCTACCCCTTGGTGCTAACATTTGTTCCTTGTCCTGCCTTAGCCTGTTTCCTGTAAACTGTGTGTGGTCTGTAATGCTATGTATAGTGAAACCTCAGAAGCAAATATAGTAATGAAGAAAAGGTCTACAGGACTGTTGGTTATTTTCTAGTTGACATTTTTGTTGTAACTATCCATAATCCATCTTTATAGACATAGCTTTAAGCATGTCTCATATTCATGATTTATTTTTTGGTTTATCAGGACAGTTTTTTTGTCGCACTAAGCTGAAATTCTTTGTTTAGCTTGTGGTTTATGGAGCATGTATGAAAATTATAGCATTTGTTTAATAAATAAGACAGTTTTTATTCTCATAAACCATATTGTAGGGACTTTGTTCATGGATATTCAATGGAGTTGGAACTGTCCTGGATAATGTCATAACTAATGTTATTATGAGAATTCTCTCATGCCATTGTATATTTTTCGTTTAGATATGGCCTGTTCCTTGGGAAATTTTACAGTATGATTTCTAAACCTTCCTTTTTTTTCTGATCTTTCTTATAAAGGACAAAAATAAGCCAAATTGTCAGTGCAGTTGCGCTTCCTTGCAGTAAATAGCCATGCCTGTGTATGAAGATCAATGTTTTCAAGGCGGTAAGGCGAGGCGTGGCGACTGACTACCGCCTTACGCTTAAGCGAGTAAGGCGTAAGGCGAGGCGACGCCTTAACAGCTTAAGAAAAATTTAAAACAGCAGCTCAGAGCAGTAGATGGTGAAGAGAAAAAAAGGAAAAAGGAAAAAGAAAGGAGGAGGAGTAAGAATAGGTCTGGCCTAGCCCATTAGGCAGCCCATGTGCCCCTCACCCACCAAGCATGTCTTCATCTCTCTGCTCCCAAATCCCCAATCCTCTCTAGACTCCAGCGCCGCCGCAACTCTCCTGACTTCCGTCTCCGGCCTCTGCCCCTCTCTCTGTCTCTTCCCTCCCTCTCTTCCAGATGCGGGCGCAGCTGCATGGCTTCCTGAGATGGAAGAGGGCACAGCTGCATGGCTCGGCTGTGGACGGCCGAGCGGCAACTTCCCCCGGCACCAGCAACGAGGATGAATGCGGCGGCGCGGGTGAGCTGCGGCTTCCTCTTCCTCATCCGCCATGGGGTCCCCGCGCCGCTCTCTCTGCGCTCTGTTTCTCCCGCGTGCAGCTCTCTCTCTCTCTGCGTGTGCTGTTTTTTCGGCGCCGCGCTCTCTCTTTCCTTTTTTTTCGCTACCGATTCTCCTGCGTTTTTCCCACTGTCCAAAGCAGAGGCTTCCTTGTATGGCGCCCGCCATGCGCGATTTGGCGCGATTTGGACGCCAAAGCGACGTTTTTTGGACGCCTCGGTTGTAAGGCGGACGCCACACGAATCTAAGGCGAGTCGTCTGCTAAAGCGTCGTGTATGCAGTAGCGCTTGGCGCTAAAGCGACGCCTAAGCGACGCTTTAAAAACACCGATGAAGATACATTATAGAACTCTGATATCTAACCGAAGATGTTAATAGACAACTGTTACCCTAGTAATATCTGTGCACGTCTGATTAATCTGAAGCTCTAAACTTAACTTTCATAATCTAGAACACCATTATGGCAACTGCATATCCTTTATATATTTATTATGTTTATAGGCTATTTCCCTTCTTTTTCACAGACAAATACCTCCTATTTTTTACACTGTTGAACTTTTTTTTGGTAGTCGTGTTAGCCTACCACAACTTGCTTAAAAAATATATAGTTTTGTTGTTGTCGGTGTATCAGTGTGGAAATGAGTGAAGGAAGTGCTCAGTTGATTAATATGCAGATTAGAAATGATGCTGGTGGCTCTGCTCCAATCCTACTGGTTGATTCATATGTAGATTAGAAATAATACCGAGGGCTTTGAAACTTATCTTTTCATGAAAACTTGGTGTGGCTGATCTGTTTGATACGTTCAAGTTTCTCTGTAACTGCTATATTCTCTTACAGTGAATGTTGTTTACGTTTGTGATTTGAGCTTCTTGGAAGCTGATATGTTTCTGGTGCTCATCCAGGCCATGGGAGGATGAGGGATTACATTTCTTGGCCAACTTTATTATCACTTGGGCTTCACCGTTTGCATTTTCTTTTGGCAGTGAGTCACAAATCTGTCTCACTATATCATGTTTCACTTTTGATTCTACAGTTTTTCAGTATAATTTGTTTGATACATGCACAGCAAACATATGAGAATCCATGATTTATTTTCCCTCCTAAGAATGAATGAAGGATACAATTTGCTATGATGATCATACTCATAATGAATGGACTACAGCCTGCAGTACTCCTCTCACCATTCCTAATCCCTAGATGCTTGCTGAATACTAGCTTCTACTGTGACCCACATTCTGGAGGGTATCCGTTAGGAAACCTCCTCGGGTCAGTGCAGTAGTCATATATCTTGTTTTTAGCATTGACATCATTCAGTTTTTGCTCCCCCTCCTCATCCAACTCCTGGTTGAACCAACTGCTATCGCCGGAATCCTGGCCGCAAATCCAGGCTCTATTGTATGGGACACAAGCGTTGGCGGTGTAGTTCCGGAAGAAGGCTGTGAAGGGCCCATGGGACCAGTCAGTTTTGATGCGTCCGCCCTGGGTTGCCCATTCGTCAGCGTCCCAGATGCTGGCATACAACCTCATAGGCTGGTAGAGTGGGAAGGAGTATCATCCCTCATCTGATTCCTCATCCGCCGGATTGGGACGCCGTTAACAAGTATTCTGCATCGTCCCAACAATAGGCAGATGGATTAGTACTAACTGACACACCTTAGAAGCGTTTGGCAAATGTCACAGAGCTGCCAAAATGCGGCTTAGCATCACGGTAGAAACTAATAAATTCAATCAACGAGATGCAAAATGCTGATGACTTACAAGATCATATGCGGGTTCCATATGATTGAGTAGGTGTTGAAGTCTGCAGTAGGATCAAACCAAAGACGATACTGCATCTCTCGGTCACCTTTCCCTCTTGCATAGATGTTAGTGTGCAGGGTGTATGGTTCACCGGTGGTGTTCCCCAGGAACTCAAGGTCAATCTCGTCGTGGTATTGCCATGGCCCCTCTGTTACCATCTGTTTTTGAATTGGAAGAGAACCGTGGTTAGACTAGCTGTAGGTAATATAACCTGAACATGATGATGGTTTCATTAATCACATTTCTTGTTAAGACTACTTACATATACTGTGGTGACAGTGCCAGCTGAGTCCTTGGGGACAAGCTTGATGTCAATGTCGAACCTCCCAAAGAGGTACTTGCTCTTGGAGCGGAACGCAGAGGTGGTCCAGCAGTCGAGGGAGAGTGACACCATTTGGCGGCCGGAGCTATCATAGAGCACCTGTGTGTTGCCCCACATCATGTCAACGCTATCAGCCATGTCGCTGGTTGCTGGAGAGATGGCCATCAGGCCGAGACAGAGAGCCGCTAGAGAGGCTATGCAGTAAGCCCTAGAGGACTGCCACATGGCTTGGCTTCAGCCTTCAGATTGCGGGGTAGTGAATGGGCCGGGCACACCGCACACTGTGACTCTGTGAGTGTGTGATGCATTTGGAACGAACGATGTAGATTCTGGAGTTATATAGACGACGACTCTACGAAGGGAGATCTCGAGCAGGGTGAGGATCTAACAAAGGTACGGACTTCGTTTCTTGGATGGCATAATAAACTGGACATAATTGGCTGACTTCTGAAGAAGCGCGTATAAAGATTCAAGTACTTAGCCGCCCCACGGTGCCTTCTGCCATGCTTCAGCAGGATGAAAGGTTCATAGTTGCCTTGTGGGGCAGTTCCTGTGGGTGGTATTACTATATCCATTCAATTGGGAGTATCATATAAGCCATGAATGAAATAGAGTGAAATTCAGCACAGCTCCTTGAAGTTGTCTATAGGTATCGTATAGGTCCCCGTAAAATCATTTTGAGACTTTGAGAACCGATATGAGACCTATAAACAGCTTTAAGGACCTGTGATGAATATGACTCAATGAAATATATAGTCGATCTCGACGTCTTGTCTAACTCTGAGGTCTGCTTATTATTAAGCTGTTGAACTGTACTGTTCTGAAGTTATGGCAACTTGTGGTATTGTCCCTGTCCCCTGCCTTGTAAATCATAACAGTGTTCTGATGAAGTTATTGAAAATTTTCACTTGCCCTCCTAATTTATTTCAATTCAATGATATTGTACAGAAAGTTTGCTATACGCGACTAGCAGCCTGTTTGGCTGGGCTTATACGATCGTATACGATCGTGGATTATAAGCTGGAACAATATTTTTCTCTCACACCAAACCAGCCAAATTAGCCAGTAGTAAATAATCCACGATCGTTTACGACGAAACGAACAAACAAGTCGTAGGTTGCTGGCAGATCTAAGAAGTTATTAAAAAGAATTAATTCCTCGGGTTTAGAAACTAATGCAAGAGTTGTTCAGAAAAGAAATCAAATGATGCGAGAGTCAAACAGGCAAGTCACCTGACGGTCACATGTCCATGCACACTGTATGACCATAACAGAGTTTTTTTTATATCAACCAGTTACTGTTCATATTTGTGCACTGCAAACTTTTTCGGTCCCCGAAGAATAATAAACGTACATCGAGGACACATACATCAGACTACTATTCTCTCTGTCTCTGAAAAAAAAAACGTATTTTGATAAGTGGATATGAATAGAAATAACTCTTATTTTTTATAATATGTTATCATTTGCTAAAGAATCAATACCATCTCAGAACCACTTTGAATACAAATCTATTGATGCAAAAATTATATCGTCAACTTATATATAATTTGACTAATTGTTAATCAAAGTTTGTGAGACTTTGACTTTTCTCGAACAAAATACACATATCATTATGAAGGGAGTACTTTTTTCAGAGTGCTTTTGTATACTAGAGATTGCTTCTATTTAATGCTGAGATGACGTCTGTTATGATTTCAGGCTTATGTTTGGCTTCTCGAATTACGAAGCACACATGACATGGGTGATAGCAAATCGCAATGTAGTAAATCCATCGTTATCCCGTGAGGACGTGGTAAAAATTAGGGGAATTCAATGGGAGTTTCATTTGTATTTAATAGGTTGCCACATAGGTGTTTTTGATGATATGATAATACTTTTAAGAGGAGAGAGAAGTGAGTTGATGAAACTCTCTTGGCACGATTACTAGCTCTATATGAGTCATGAAATTAAATATTTCAGGGTGAACAGACGTCGACAATGAAGATACTCACACGCGTTACTGAGGATCTCGCTGTGTGGAAAAAAAGTCTTGTCTTAAAGAAAGCCAGCACTGCTGATAGCATCCATGGGTGGCAAATGTATCTGAATCAGGGATGAAAACGGACGGAAAAACTCCTCTCCCATTTTCGTTTCTATATTTTTAGCGGAAACGGGATCGGGTTTGAAAAAAAAACGGAATTAAAAACGGATGGGGATATACGGAAATACAGAAACAGACAAATACAGACAGGGAGCCGGAAAAAAAAGTTAAAATAACATGATCAAATATTCTTGAGTATACATGAACAAAGTCACAAAATAATATACACGTAAGAAATTATCGGTCCAATATTCACTAGTATACCATGTGTTAACATGTTAACATGCATAATTTGTGATTAGTAGGTTTATGAACATATCAATTTCTGGATATATCTCACATAGATTGAAAACAGGATGAAAAACAGAATAAATACGGGTCAATTCTGGATAAAAACGGGATCTCACAGAAACGGACGGAAAAACCCCTTTCCCAAACGGGATCCCACAAATACGAAAACGGACGGAAGAAAGTAGAAAACGAAACGGGTGGAAACGAGATTTTTTCAGTCCGTTTTCAACCTTAATCTGAATGAATGTAAACTCTCCGCCCATGTACCCCTATGCTCTCTGTAACAACTGTCTAAACTTTGATATCTAATAAAATGTCCAGGTGGGGATCCTCTCCCCCCTTAGTTAACTTCAAAAAAAAAAAAAACAAAGCTGACGACTTATGTAACGTGAGTGAAGAGAAGGGGCCGCTTGTGTGCAGGGAGGGGAGGTGCCAAAGTTGGATGCAAGTTTGACACCAGCGTCGGCTGGGAGATCATATGGCGGCGGCGAGGCCAAGGGCAGGGCGACGGCGATTGGCTGCAGGGGCGAGTACAGGGCGGCCGCCGTGACGAGTGAGGGCGAGGGCAGCGGCAGCGCCGTGTGAGGACGAGGGAGAGAGCAGCCTCGTGTCACGTGAGGTGACCGACCCCTTCGGCTTCAGCGTGGGAGGCGAGGGGGGGGGAGGCGAGGGGCACATGACCCTTCGGGCGGTGGTGGTGGGGGCGGGGGCGGGGGCGCGGAGGGGCTGTGCACAATTACCATACTACCCTTAAACGATTAAAATTAACTACAGACAATATTTTGTGTAGGCAGCCCATTGTGTCTTTTCATGATTTACGACACTACATGATTGTTCCCCTTAGTCTAGATCAAACGTTCATCAATCTCTGTTTGTTCTCAAGATTAAAAGTGATAGGGATGGGTCTCAAAATCAGTACATATGTCATTCGCAAAAAAAAAAAAAAAAAGAATCAGTACATATGCAAATTTTATACAAAACACCTATGTGTATTGAAGTATCAATAAATTGGCTAATACTGTATGAACTACACAGGGATTATTGACAAACAAGATATCTGTTGCTGTTAAAAAAATGAAGAAGGGTAATTCTGAAAAATTGTTAGCAGAGGTCTCGTTGGTGACTGAGCTGCACCATGAGAATATCTTAAAATTGTTAGGCTATTGCTTCCTGGGAATGGTACATTCTTAGTTTATGATTATACGGCAAACTAAACACTGACCAATATTTTAAAGGTACGATTCCTGTGATTAAAAAGTTTTGGCATCATACTCCCAATAAATTTATATTTCTTTGACCTATATTATCAGTTTGTGAAACAAGAATAAGTTATCTCCATTTTGAAGTTCTGTAAATAGGTATTTCAAATTGTATTAGCAGATAAACTGAACCCAAAACGGCTCAGCTGGAGCACGTGGTACAACATACTAAAAGGCATTGCGCGTGGTCTAAAATATCTTCACTTGGAAAGACATCCTGCACAGAGATCTGAAGCCTTACAAGTTACAACATTCTTCTCGACTCAGCATTCAAAGCTAAAATAGCCAATTTTGACTTAGCTAAAGTTTACAATCGGGCACATACTCACGAAAACACAGACAAAAGGGGTGGCACAGTGTAAGTCATCTACTTTTTATCTCCCTTTCTTGGTTCTTATGTGTCATTGTGTGCTTGGACTGATTCTGTTTTTTTTTTGTTTAAGTGGCTATCTTGCTCCTAAATTGTCTCAACACGGAGAGTTTTCAACAAAGAGCTCTTTTACGGTGGTTGAGGGTGCCTCTGGGTGTCCACAAAATATTGTCTTTAGTTAATTTTAATAGTTTAAGGGCAGTATGGTAATTGTGCACAGCCCTCTGTGCCCCCGCCCCCACCACCCGCTGAAGGGGTCAACCCCCCCCCCACCTAAACCCAACGCTGAAGCTGAAGTGGTCGGTCACCTCACATGACGCGAGGCTGCTCTCTCTCGCCATAGCCGCCGCCACCCGCCTCGCCCTCACTCATCACGGCGGCCGCCTGTCTCTCGCTTCGCCGCCAAACGCCGTCGCCCCTATGCTCAGCCTCACACCACCGCCAGACGACCTCCCCACCGACGGCAAGGCAAGGCGCATCCAACTTCGGCACCTAAGCAGCCACGGCCACTACCGCCCGTAACCATGGTGATGAGTCCAAGATCCGTAAGGCACGCCCAGCTATGGTGTGAACGTCGCCGGTCATGTTCCATACATCCCGAAGCGCCCTGCTATGCGACCCTCATCGTGCCATTGCCGCTTTGATCCGCTTCATCCCCGCCCGATTACCCGTGTGTGGTCTGCTAGCCATAGTCCCCACGGCCACCCTCATCCCCACTGGCTGCGGCGCCGTGGCCCCTACTACTACGCCGCCGTGGCTCCCCCATCGGCGACAACCGCCACCCAAAGGCCTCCTCCCTCCGCCACTGTCGTGTGTTGCACACAACAAGATGTTGTTGTGTGCTCACGGGCAGCTGCTGCTTGCTCCACCATTCGGCCAGCCACCGACTTGTTATTTCTTACGTTCACAGATAAATCCGCAAGCGCACGGAATACCGCTATAGCACTTCATCAGGAGTATTCCAGGTATCGTTATTTATATTTTACCATAAGGAAACAATGGAATAAAGAGTATTGAATAGTAACAAAGGAATATCTACTAATTAACATACCAACTAGACTAAAGTGGGGGTAGGTGTAAAAATAAGATTTATGCATAATGACGTACAGGGGACAAATCCATGATAAATAAATAGACTCGATAACTTGGGAGAATAACGGGTGAGGTAAATTCCTATGATAATATTACTACAAAGTTATGGAAATACAATGGCATATATACTTATTTTCAGCAAAGATTAACTCTACATTTATCCATGAGGGACATCTCTAAGGAGGAGCATAGCAGAATATAACTTCCTCCGTTGTGACAAAGATCCTACTAGGCCTACAGATGGGAGGTGGACTACAGAGGATCAACGAGGTTGTCACCCACGTGATCTACCACACATTCCGGAATGTAGGGTGCATCCGCAGGCACAACAATGTATAAGCACCACGCTTACACAAAGTCTGCTACTCAGCCTGGTCGACCACTAGGCTAAACGCTCTGCGATCCTATGCATGAATATAAAGATAACTTCGACATTTAGATAGTTTACTTAATTGCATAAGTTTTGCTAAGGTTAGAAAAAGAGTACACATTTAGAAATAGAGTTTTAAGTTGCCTAATTCACTGACTCCCTCTTAGACATCACGGTCCTTTCACTTGGCAAGCAATTTTTATGCCTAAGGCCATTATCAAAGTCAAAGAACTGGACAAATGCTCACACGGTTAAGTACTGATAGAAAAAAAAACTAAGTAATAAACGGTTAATTTTATATGATACTTCAATTCCCTACTTGAAACCATAACATACTTGATGAAAAAAATGAAAAAAAACCTAGTTAATGATGGCTTCATTCGTCGCCTCTTATATCTTCACCAAACTTCGAAACAGAAGGGTTGTCCGGGTGTCCCTCATGTTGTCTCTCCGAGGCGACTGGGAAACCTACCGCCACCGGTGAGGGCCTCCGGGCAGGCTCGCCACCGCCGCCGCCTCCTCTCGGTGAGTGGCGTGGCTAGTGGTGGCGCGCTCAAAAAGGCGGGTCGCCGATTTGCTCGCCCCACCTTCTCCCGCTTGCTCTCCTCCCTCCCCTCTCACCCACCCCAAGCTCCCTTATCGTCCACGGTGGGATCCACGACCGTCGACGCCGGATCCTGGCCGACCATGCCCGCTTGCGTCTCCGGTCGCGATAACGGTGGTGAAGTCGGGTTCACCTGTGTAGGCGCCACGTGCACCGCCTCCGATGCCGCCGCGTCCGTGTTCTCATTCATGATGCTTTCCTCCAGCTACGCCAGTGGGTCCTCCTCTTCAACTTCCCCGACCGTGGCTTGCTCATCCCGCGCCTCCAACGTCGCATCCATGACCACGACGTGGCAGTCGTAGGTACCCCTCGGCCAATGATGGGATCCTAAGCCGCTAGTGTTGGATCTAGCCAGGTGTGTCCGCTGCGGCTCTGGTCACGGGCCTAGCATAGATCATAGTGGTGAACATCGGGGTCCGCGCTGCGGGGGGCTCTGGCTTTGGGGACGGCGTAGTGGTTCTGCCGCCGTTGGTGTTGGTGCCGTGGTGCTCTATGCAGGAGGTGGATGGTCGCTACCTCCTTGCTCGTCTAGGGCTGGGCCTAGCTGTCACTTTTGCTAGCGCGAATGGGGTCCCCTTTGTGTCTGGAGTGGGTGATGCCATGCATCCTCAAGGCTTCGCTAGCGATCTCTGGCTGGCAGCGGGATCCGGGTCTGCCCGCGCTGGATCTAGCGCCGCCGAGTGTCCTGTGAAGTGTAGTGGGTGCGCCCCCATCATGGTTGGCGTGGACGCAGGCGGCGATGCCTGAGTCAGCTATTGCTTCCCCATGGTGGCGGTGGCTCGGGTCCTGCTCTTGGATGCATGGGGTTCTGGGCGAAAGCTCAGCCGAGTTGGCCGAGCTGACGATGGTGACGCCTCGAGCGCCATATACGTCCTTGGAGGCATCATTGAAGGAAACCATGCTTCAGTTTGTGTCCACGGTGCAGATTCTGGGCGTAAGCCCCGCCTTAGAAGTCTCTAAGGCACGCGGCGGTGGTGTCCATGGTGATACACCCTTGGGGGTCACCCCCTTCGTGAAGGCGTTGCTGAAGAATCACCTGCGACTTGTGCCTTGCTCCCCTTAGCCGGTTGGCCCCTTGCTCGCTGGCACCGCTACCGTGTGGTTCGTGCCGTCTCCCATGGTTCCTGTCGTGCTACATGTGGAGTTCCTTGCTATGCATGTGTGCCTATGTCCGTCCTCACCATGATCTATCCTACGGTGCTTGATTCTACCGCAGTCATTTGGCTTTTGTAGCAAATGCTTTGCCGCTATCGTTTCTCTCGAGGTGGATGCTTGGCCGTCTCTAGATTCTCTGGAAGATGCTTTGCCATTGTTGTCGCTGGTCTTCCTCTCTGGTAGATGCTTTGTTGCCGAGAGTGCGATGGTCGTGTCTCTCTGGCGGATGCTTTGTCGCCGTTGTCTCTTTGGTCCCCTCTTGGTAGATGCTTGTTGCCGAGAGCGTGCTGGCCCACTACTTGGCAGATACTTGACCGCCGTGGTCATTTGGTCTTCATTGGTGGATGCTTTGCCACTGTTTCTGCTGGATGCTTGTCCATCTTCTCTGGGTTGATGGTTTGCCACCGCTGCATTGTCCGTTTTGTAGGCAACCATTGCGTTGATGTTTCCTTTTCTTGCAGGTTCAGTTGGTAGGTTTTTGGGTTGAGGGGCAGTCGCTCTTGATGTCTTTCTTTTTTCTTTTCGATAGTGTTGTTTCACTAACTTGGTGGTTTGTAATCTATGCTATACGAGGATCTCTCGTAGCTGTGTCGTGTAATTCTCTTCCTCTTAATAAACACGTGCTATATTCCCCGATCGAGAAAAAACAATCTGTGTAATACAATTAATCATTTGGTATTCTCTTCATTGTGCAGTTCTAAAAAACTCCACAAAGATATTTAATATTCATGGAAATTGGGCATTTCTGGATTGGGGGAAGTTATCATTTTGAAATAAAAATTGGGACATGAGAACGTGTAATTTAGCCTGGATAGATTGAACTCATGTTATATCATCCTAGAGGCCAAGGAGCATCTGCAAACATTGGTGGAATGGAAATTCCGCAAGGTAAGGATAGAGTGCAACAAGGTGGCTTATGAGTTAGTAAATTTAGCTAGGCGTAATGTTCACACCCTGCTCCGATCTGGCCTCCACGGCTCCACATCGTGACGCTGGGTCTGTAGTCAGCGCCTGGTTATAGGCCATGCCGCGCTTCGATTTGTTGTGCCGTCACCTGGTTTGGCTAACTTTAGGATTAAAAAAAAGCAGCCATGTAGGAGGAATGGGAGGGCGAAAAGGATGGGCAAAGGGCGGCGTTCCACGAGTTATGCCTTGGGTCCTTTGCCTTAGTGGGCGCGCTGATTAGCTAGTAGAAAATGCTGGGCCATAAAAAGGTCCATATCCGATCCGTCCATGTCGGCGAGGGCCTCGTCCTCGCCGATGACTACGAGCGGAATCTCGGCTGTCATCTACCAAGGCAACCGACCTTCAACATGGACAAGTTCAAGCTACATATATAGCTCACGTATGTGCACTGGCGGAGCCATCGTCCGGCGACCCCGAGATAGCATGCGTCCCCCGAACACTCGCAGCTCGTCAACAAAGTGCAAACAAAAATTTTCTGGCTCCGCCAGTGCGTGCGTATCGCAATAAGACAATCCCAAATAAAAACAAATATAATCATATATTACCCATTGTTTCCTATGAGGCAATATGTAGCAATAGTCATCTAGATCTATGTGATCGAATGGACGGTTCACATTCTCTCTCTCTTAGGCGTACCATAGAAAATTCTTTATATATTTAAAAGAGTGATACCAAATTACTGAATCACGCAATACAACCCTCGCACTTCCTGTCTTCTACTACCAGTTTTTTTAGAAAATGGAAGAGAACTTCCCGCCTCTGCGTAGCTAAGTCTTCTACTACTAGTTGAACCACTTCTAGCTAGTTACCCCGCACTCCTTAGGGCCCCCATTTTTGTACCTCTTGGAGTCTGTGCAGTAATCATATATCTTGTTACTAGAGTCCACCTGTGCCAGTTGCTGTTTCCGTGACTCATCCAGCTGCTGGTCGAACCAACCGGAGCCTGGGAGACACAGAGGGGAGGCCTGGTATAGGTCGCATGAAATGGCCCTGTAGTTCCGGAAGTATGCGGTGAATGGCGCCTGCGACCAGTCAGTCTTGACGCTGCCGCCCTGTGTTGCCCACTCATCGGCGTTCCAGATGGTGGCATACACCCTCATTGGATAGTAGTACGGGTATGGGGCACCGTATATCTGGTTGTTCTTGATCTGCCGGTATAGCTTGTCATCCACAAGGAATCTGCAGCTCAGAAAAAATATATAGTTGTATGATTATTATTATTACCACCGAGTAGAATGATATTGCTTGGATAAAACTGAGCCTTAGATATATGTAGAAGGGGAGCTTACAGGATCCAATCTTTGTTCCAGATGATGGTGTACTTGTGGTAATCTTGAGTGGGATCAAAATCAAACTTGTACTGCTTCTCTCTGCTACCCTGTCCTCTGGCATACATGTTAGTGTGCATGGTGTAGGGCTGGCCACTGCTGTTGCCCAGAAACTCGATGTCGATTTCATCATGGAACTGCCACGGGTTCTCGGTTATCATCTGTCGCCAGAAATTGCAGCACAAACTATATATTAGATTGGTGTTAAGGATATCTCGATATACAAGCGGTGGCTGAACCGTGAACAACGTCAAACAGTTTGTTTACTTTGTAAGAAACTTACATAGAATGTGGTCACGGTGCCGGCCGAGTTTCCAGGGACGAGCTTGATCTCTATGTCTACCCTGCAAAACTGGCATGTCTTCTTGGAGCGGAACGCAGAGCTAGTTGAGCGATCAAGAGCCAGCGCGATGGCCTGTTGGCCGCTGCTGTCAGTGACGAACTTTGCGTTGCCCCACATTATCTCGAGGTCATCGGTCAGGATGCCGGTGACATTGACATGCTGGGTGACGGCTAGGATGAGGTAGATAGCCGCTAGGGAGGCTAGGAGCTGATGAGCCCTAGCCTTCCCCATGGCTGTAGGTGCTGTTGAGCTGCTAGTAGGTAGTGTGAGAACGCTTTCATTTCATCCAAATGATGTCAACTTATATAGAGAGATCGAGGAGGAAGTGGAGATTAGGGTTCTGTACTGCAACCAAGATCTAACCTGGTACAGCATAGCTACTTTGATTCTCTTTAAGTTCTAAGAAATTTGAGAGAATCATCTAGTTATTGAGTACTGAGTAAGTGGGTATATATAAAAATGTTGATCATGACTTTAATTAAAGCTCGAACAGAGAGAGAGAGAGAGAGAGAGAGAGAGTTGACTAATTGGTTCGAGGGCTCTCATGCATTGAGCACCAATCTGTGTGTGAGCCACCCCACTGTGGCTTCTGACAGACGTAGTTGATTCTTCTGCAAGTTGAACTGTTGAGGTTTACGTGGGGAGTCGAGAAGTTCTATGGTTATTATTTCGATAACAGGGTTTTACGTCCATGAGGCCACTTTAATTTGGCTTGTTCTTCCATAGCAATGTAGATCCGCAGAGTCAGAAAATGTCCAGTCACGTGTAGATCACGAGGTCATACATTTACTCTGACGTTCTACCGTAGAATTTAGACATCCAAAAATTTCTGATTTACGTTTGTGCGTGTGTACGTCCAGTGTTCAGTGCTATTTTTTCAGGACATGGTCTAAAACTCCTAACTTGTACTGAATTTAGACATTCTAGCTTCACGTTCTGGCTGAGGTGCTCCTGTTAATGCATGCCTGAAATAAATAAAACTAGGGTTTCATAACATGCTCAGAACATCGATTCTTTTGAGAAGTGTGAACAAAAGTTCTTCGCAAAGAAGTGCGATCACCAAATTGCTTTTGCATTTCTAATACAAATATAGTTCTTCTCATAGGAGAACTGCATGTTCAATGGATCTCCATTTGATATGTGTATTGAATTTTTTGTGTATAGTGTTGAATGATTAACTCTCTTCATTTTCCGTATTGAATTTTTTGTGTATAGTATTGAATGATAACTCTCTTCATTTTCTGTGCACAAAAAGTTCATTGCAAATTATAAGTCATTTTAGCTTTTCTAGGTACAAACATTTTTACTATGCGTCTACGCTATGTCTAGATACAAAGTTTTCTATGTATCTAAAAAAGTCAAAACAACTTCTAATTTAGAACAGAGGGAGTAATTTGGATTCTCTACCGTCCACTCATAGATAAGGTGGGATTGCGGACCTATTTGGACAGAGGGCATTTTACAGAAGCACCTATTGGTACAGACGATATATATACCACTGAAGGTATGTTAAGCTGCAGTGCTATGGATCTCTCAGTGAGTGATCAGACTGATTCTGCAATTCCTATAGATCATCCAGTTTTACTCTGACAAAACTACATACATCTCTTGGCAACCTGTTAATATAGATCAATCATCCATTATTCATACTGTTTTCTTTAACTTGCCACAACTTTTTTACAATGGCAAGTTCTGACTCGTACAGATCTTGGTTAACAACATACGGTCAAATTGGTTCGTATTATTTTAACCGTGTTTCGTGTAGAAGACCGTGAAGCTTGCAGGCTTGCAGTACAGGTCACATGAGCCGTAAATTTTCGATGTATATACATATATCTAGTCTAACCTCCATTTAATGTCCACATTTTCTTATGCATGAGATCCCATCGACCAATGCAGTCGTGATTTAGATTAGCTAACAATATTGTTTAATTTAGGCTTTGTTCCTGGCTTTGCAAATGTCTAGGCACATGAGAAGTCGTGAGATCTTTCTGTGACAACTCTGTTGCAAATGTCTAGGCACATCAGAAGTTCTGAGAGCAGAGCACCGCATGTGTATGGGCTCTACTATATTTTCTGCTTAAGCTTAACAAATTTTAGTCTCGGTACTGGTTCCCAGACTCTGACTTCATGTTTGATACTTCGCAGGAAACATATTTTTTAGTGCCTCTGAGTTACATTACATGTACGGAAATCTCGATGCGAAACTGGAGTAGAAGGTGCAGAACTGAAGATCTCGGAGATTTCCAGTGCTGTGTGTGCGCTGTGCAGTAACTTGCAAGCTCCCAGTGATCTGAATGATAAACCTGGTCGACTGCAGGCAGTGGTGTTCAGCTAATCAGCTTCTGAATCGGATCTTTGTGTTGGGCCGCACTTACTTGTCTACATCTTTTGGCTGAGCAAGCGTTTTTGTTTTTGTCAGGCCCTATAGCTGAGCTCATTGACGCCAGTACATAAATCTTGCTGTGCATATTCTTTGTAGCATTGAATAACACAGGAAGCTAGTCGCAAAAAAAAAAAAAAAAAAAACACAGGAAGCTTCCCTGCAGGAGTTCAGTAATTCGAAAATACTATTCAAAAGGATCTATTTAAGATTTTAACTACTTGGAGCACAGAGTACTGTCAGAACAAAGGAGATCAAAGCTGTTTGGTTCAGCAGTTACTAGCGCTAACTGTTACATGGGAACTTAAAAAGCTATTTGTTTGGTGGTGTGTGAGTGCTACCGGTTTTTCTTGTCCTTGTAGGAAGAGGATGGCTTCTTTTTGGCCAGTGCCAGAGTGGGTGTAGGAATGGTAATGCAATCAGTTACCGGAACTAATAACTGTTACATAGAAACTAAAAAAAAGCTATTTGTTTGGTTGTGTGAGTGCTACCTGTTTTTGTTGTCCTTGGAGGAAGAGGATGGCTTCTTCTTGGCCAGTGTGGGGGCGAGGTCTGGGTGGGATTGGTTTTCAAGGTCGCACCACCACTACGAGAAGTAGGATGGCGGGGGTGGTTGGCGTTGCGGACTTGCTGTTGGTTTGGAGGAGAACTTGGACGCGGGCGTGGCCGGTGTGGCAGAAGCATCTGTAGGAGACACAGGAGAGGTAGTGGGACGGAGCACGCAAGTGCGGCGACAAGGACTTTGGTGCTGATTTTTACGACTCCACAGGAGGATCCAACTAGGAGGGAAGGGATAGCGGAGCTGTAGTGGGCTGCATCCATTCATCCTACAATATGTTACCACCTAGCTCATCTAAACACAAAGCAACATAGGATGTGTTTGGTTCGCGTTCAATTCCTAGCCTGGCTAGCTTTCTAAGCCTGGCCAGACTTTAGTCAGCCTAGCACAAGCCATAGTCACTTGTTTGGTTGGAGTGATTGCTCAAGCCTGGCTAAGTTTTGGTGTGTTTGATTGTCTCCTTTGGCTTGAATAGAATCACCCGTTGAAGCATTTTGTCGAACATGTGGTGAGCACCTTCCACCATCGCCATGTGCACTGCAGTGCAGCTGCCGAGGTAATGTCCGCGTGCCCGCCCGCTCTCCCCCTGCTTGCTATCCGCGTCTGCGGCTTGGGTCGGGGCCGTGCTCGGAGCTGCAGGGGGCGTGCTGCCGCGGTGGATCTCCGGCGAGATCGTGGCGCGGGCGGAGGGGGGAGAGGAGAACGGCGATGGAGGAGGTGCTCTTCCGGCAGGCTCCGGCGAGGAGGTTCTTGTCCTCCAATGAGATCTGACCATGGCGCGCGCGGAAGGGGAGGGGAGAATGGCGGTGGTCGTGGCGCATGCGAAGGAGGACGGTGGTGGCCATGGCACGTGGGACACACCCGCCCTCTACTTGCCACCGGACGATGGAGGAGTCCGAGGAGCAGATGTGGGCCGCCGAAGGAGGAGCACGATATGCACGCACGCCGGCGGTGGAGGAGTTCGTGCCGAGTCGAGAGATAGCACGCCGGCAGTCGAAGAGAGGTCGCGGCGCCAGGCGGTGTCGGGAGGTACGCGGTGACGACGGGGAGGTGAGCGAACGCAGGACGAGCGCTAGCCAGGGCCTGGCTCAAGAAAAATGCCCAACTTCTGCATTTTTCTGGAGCCAGGCTAAGACCCCCTGGGTGGCATGCTGGAGCCTGGCTAGGAGGCTTGTTCAACCAATCAAACAAGCTCAATTTGGCTCCAGAAAGCCTGGTTAGGAGATAGCCAGGGAACCAAACACATCCATAGTCCATTCACATTGTAAATCGTTGTGAATTGAGGGGTTGAAAACATGAAACCAAACAGATGTGGTCATGTGGTGGTTGTTGCTACAGCAAGGATAATTCATGGGAAGACACTAGTACAACAAAGCTTTGTTCCGGCGGTTCCAGACCTATTTCTACTGGTGTTTTAAGGTCATTGAAAATTCTGAACTTTGCGGGCGTCTTCTTGAGATGCGCCAATTTTAATCCATTTACACTGCCGGTTGACTTAAGCCAACAACCAGTGTAAATGTATTATAGAGGCGGACCGCCTGTGTAAATTATTTCTCAGGTGGATTATGTAAAAGAGCTGCCTCTGAAAATTGTTTTCTAGAGGCGGTTTAGTAGCATAACCCCCAGTGAATTGTTTTTAAAAAATTAAAATTTTCCGTTAGTGAATTGTTTTTAAAAATTCAAATGAACCAAAATATCCAGCGCAGTCAATTATATTTCCATGCATGACAAAAACAATATTTACTTCATTCTACTATAGTCATCAACCCAAGTATATACATCAAAGTTTTTAACTCATAAGTTCCATGAATTGTCTAATAATCATCTTTCTATATTTCCATGCATGGCAAAAGGCAAGTATGCTTCCGGAACATTCAAACTGAGACTCCAAGTATATGCAGCAAGAATGGCCAAGAGAACCATCTCCAACCGGGCACCCCACTATATACAGAGGAGCACGCAAACACTAGCCGTTACTGTGCTAAAACGACGTTCTCAGACAGTTTGCCATACAAGGTCCGGATTATCCGCCATTCAGCACAACTAGCAATTGGGTTCAAAACCCGACCGGCGAACTGTTCGCCACCGGGGCACAGACTGTCTGCCGTTGAACCACAACACCTTGGACTAGTCCAACAGCTCTGCTTGCCGGAGAATTTAGACGGTGGACTATCCGCCCTTACAGGCGCGGACTGTTCGCCGTTCAACAGTCAGCTCAAGAACAGATTGAAAACAATATGTTGAGTTTCCTCGGGTTGGCCGGCAGATTGTCCACGGCTATCTAGAAAA